GCCTTTGAAGGATTCTAACTTGAGCTTCGGAGCCCGGAGCTTCTCTTCTCCTTCCGTTTCAGGTCCCTGTTACTCAGTTCAGAGGCAAGATCATTGACAGCTAAGACCGGCCAGATTGTGCATCATCACCCTCTATTGTTGTTGTTGATGTAACTAGTTTTTTTACTTACTAATATATCCATCATCCGTGTGTTCCGAGTTTGATTCTACGAGAATTCTGTCCACGTTAATCGCAGTTATGCATAGTATTTTGCAGGGGGAGATATTTCCATTCCTTATTCATTGAGAGAGGGATAATATATTGTGAATAGGCGTGAACAGAATTCTCGTGATGGGCAGAAAATCCAGAGTCCTTTGGAGTCTGAGTTTGGACGACACAAAATCAATTGCGGGCCCATCGTGGCACCCTGAGAAAGAGAAAGCGCACTTCTACCAATAGACCTTGGGTTTGGGTTTGGGTTTGACGATAGTAATTCAATTGGGATCGCTGCACTCAAAAATTCGAGTTACAAATAACTATGGTTACGATAGGAATTCAGTTGGGATCGCTGCATTCAAAAATTCAGTACAAATTCTCGTATACTTGTATGTTATTGTTATGGTTCATATTATTATTATTATTATTTTTAACGGGGTTTTTATAATTTAGTTCATTTTAAGGTGGAGCTAAAATTTTTAGGAATGGACTGAAATCCTGACCGCGGAGGGCAATTGGAGGGCTATTAATACACTAAGAGGGAGTTGTAATTTTAGATTTTTGAGGTGGATTGCAGTGGGTTTATCCCCAAAATACACCATACACCCCATACACCATACACCATTCACCATTCACCATGGAATGGAATGTGACTGTGAAGTGATGTGAGAAATAGATCCCAATTCCAAGAACTCAACAGTACGTTGGAGTGCGGCAGAAGCACTGAATAATCGTGGAACTGGAAGAGTTACCACGTCACTATCCAAACCAAACCACCATTTCTTAAAAGTTAGCTGGTTGGGCCGGTTGATCTGCTCCTGCATCCTGCTTAATGTTCATGTACCAATAAAGCATCGTAGAAACTAAAAATTGGCATGGCTAATGGCTAATGGCTAATGGCTAATGGCTAATGGCTAATGGCTTGGCTTGGCTCCCTTCCCTCGTACATGCGTTGTTAGTTAGTTAGCTACTTCTTACTTATAGACGAGATTTGCTGAGTTAGGACTGTTGCCAGACCGAAGCGAAGCAAGCGGCCGACAAGATTGAGTGAAGCCAGATATCTCTCTCTCATTAGTCATTACACGCATAAGGCATAATAATAAGCAGGAAATTAAAGGAAAAATTTACTCAGTTACACGCATAAGGCATTAGGGAATAAGGATGTGCATGTGCTCTCCCAAGTCCCAATTCTACTCGCGAGTGAAAGTGAACCTTCAGTTCTTCTCCACCAACCTAACCTTACCTTACCCAAGTAACCCGGCCGATTGAGATTATTGATTGTTAATTTGCTTGATAGGCCTCCCCATCCGCATCCGCATCCGCATCCGATGACCATGATAGGCCTCCTACTCTATATCTATTATCTAGTATCTACTCAATGACTCATAAACCACCCACACGTGTGCCACATTTACATTTGCTATGACAGATACGCGCGATGAGGAGATACCTCACTCAGATACATACAGACACTCTCCCCCCAAACGGGCCAAACCCAATATCTTTAAATCTGAAATTTGGTGAAGTGGAAACATCTCTCCTGCGCCTTAGCCTTCTTGGTGGAGGGTTATTTTCTCTTTTCTTTTTTATTATTCACTCTCAAGTCTCACCTTTCTTCCCCGTCTCTCCAGTCTTACCTCCTTAACACCTTCACCAGAGGTTCTCCGTTCTCACACACAACACTCTCTATCCATCTCTCTGCCTCTGGGTTTAATTCACTCTCCAACCTACAAAGGAGAAAAGCAGCACAACCCCTCAATTAACAAAACATGACTGACAGGATCTACCCTGCTTCCAAGCCCAACTCCAACCCTCCCCAGACGCTCAACGGAAACGGCAACCCGAGCTTCCCCGCCACCAAAGCTCAGCTCTACGGTGCTACTCGCCCCGTGTACCGTCCTCAGCCCAAATCACGGCGCCACCGCCGTAGCTGTTGCTGTCTCTGTTGCCTTTGGAGTACGCTTCTCATCATCGCTCTCGTCTTCCTAGCCGCCATTGCCGCTGGAGTTGTATGGCTCCTCTACCATCCTCAGCGCCCCACTTTCTCTGTCTCCACCGTCCGGATCTCCCGGTTCAACCTCACCACCTCCAAAGACACTACTTCTCACCTTAATTCCCAACTGGATCTCGCCATTTCAACTCGAAACCCCAACAAGAAGATCGTCTTCTTATACGATCCCATCACCGTCACTGTGAGCTCCACCGGCGTCGATGTAGGAAACGGATCGTTCCCGTCCTTCACTCATGGCACTAAGAACACCACCACGCTGAAAACCTCAATATCATCCAGTGGAGCCGCAGATCTGGATGCGGCGTCCGCCACTTCGCTCAAGTCAGATCTGAAGAGGAAGAACGGGTTACCGTTGGAAATTCAGTTGGAGACGAAAGTCAAAGTGAAGATGGGAAGCCTCAAGACTAAGAAGGTTGGGGTTAGAGTTACATGCGATGGAATCGATGTTGCTGCTCCCAAGGGTAAGACTCCGTCCTCACTGTCTCCGTCGTCAGATCCCAAATGTAAGGTCGATCTTCGATTCAAGATCTGGAAATGGACCTTCTAGGATGTTCAATTTTTAGCAATATTCTTTTTAATTTCTTCTTCTTCTTCTTCGGTTTCGTTGTTATTGAATTGAAGTGATTTTCATTTTTAATTTTTGTTTGGATGATGATAAATATGCTGGTTTGTAAATGTTGATAGTTTGTGGATGAGTTTGTCAGCACTACAGAGATAGGGAGAGAGAGAGAAAGTAAAGAAAAGTTCATATATAAATATTTATTAGTTTTTTTTTTGGGTTTTTCATGGTTTGCCTTGGCCATTGTTGTTGTCGTTGTAAGTGATTTGGTTTGATTTTCTTTTTCTTGTTCATGTAATTTCTCAATGCAATGTAATAACACTGAGAAAATTTCTCTGCAAATGTAGATAGATAAACACTCTTTCAATATATTTGTCTTTCTCATCTTCTCCTCTCAAAATATGCTGGGATTTGAGATGCTTCTTGTATGGTGATGATTATGAAGGAGACGTCAGAAGAAGGGGTGGAATGGAAATGGAATCTATCATTCTGTTGAGACTTGAAAGATCTTTTTTGGGGACTGACCGAGACAGAGAGGGGAGGGGACCCAGATAAGGGGAAATGAGATCAAATGATTAATTACTCTCTCGTTTGATTGAATAAGAGGGCGGGCCCACTCGTCCATTTTCATGGCTCGATTGGTTTCTGGTGCTTTCATGATTTGTTGCATTGCTTTTTCTTTCCTGAGCCCTAATTAATAAAAGAGAGGAAAAAGGTAAAAAGGAACTCTTTGTTATTGTTATGCTTCATGGTTCACGTTATCAGGCACACAGACAATGCTCTTGGAGCAACTCAACGTGCAAAAAGCCCTGCCCTGTAACAAACAGCTATTATCAGTATTTATTCCATTATTGTTGATTCATTAAAATTGCGTATGGGTGTGTCGGTGGAGTTTTTTTTTTTTTCACTTTTTTAATTAAACAAGTCATCGGAAAATGGTTGTTTGGACTTGGACTTGAGAGAGAGAGAGAGAGAGATAATGAGTATTGAGTATTTAATTTAATACATTATCTTATTTACTCGAAACTTAGAAGTTTCGAGTACGAATTCTGGTTCGGGTGTCCAAGTTGAATCGGGGCTTTTGGGGTCACGTATGTCTGAAAAAAGCAAGATCTGGAAGTCAGAAGTATGGCTGGTTAGTACAGTACACCACTCCGGACCCGCTACAAACAAAGGCGTGTACAACCGGTACGTTAATGTCAATCAAGAGAGTGAAGAATACGGCAATGGATCACTGGCGTTGTTTGGTTACGTAGCCCGTTGTTTGGAGCAGATGCCAAGTAAAGAATGAAGTTGTGAGAGCTACCAGCTACCAGCAGCCTACCACCGTCCATAGTACTAATAAATCTAATAATAATGCCTCCACTTCCAGTTTGAGGCTCCAACCAATAGAAATCATGCAAGCACCAAGAAGGAAGAAAGGAATAGAATAGAAGAGTCTTCTGTTCTGTTTGTGTATTGAATTGTTGATTCCCATTCGTGACGAAGAGCCATGTAATCAGGGCTGATTATCAACTTTATCGTCACCGTGAATGGTTCCTGAATTGAGATAGTGAGATGTGGGGCCGGTCATTCGATTGATCGATTCATTCAGACAAGGTCGGCGCCCGCTGGTAAGACTTACATATACGTTGTTTATTTTGCACGGAGGTTGAGGATCAAACATGGTAAATAATTTTTTTTTTGTTTTTCTTTAAATAAAGAAATAAAAAAGAAAAATTCTAAATTCTACAATTATTCAAAATATCATACTCTAAATATTGAAATTAATTTTAAAATGGCACTTAAACTGGGCTAAGAAATCTGGGGGTTTTAACAAAGAAATAAAAAAAGAAAGAAAAGACAAGTGTAATCCAGTGTAAATATTGGAAGCATCTGCCAGAATATTATGAGTCAATAAAACAAATGGGTGGTGGGTCAGGGTCAATCCATTCAATTTTCATTGCAATCGCCTTTATTTACTTTTAGTTTTAATAATTTAAAACAAGGGCCAAATGGGTGGTGGATTTTAGAGAGGGGCGAGTTGCTATAATTGTAATTGTAAACACGTTTACGTTCAATGCTTAGGGTGGTACCGACTGCATTCTGAAGAGTCCCAATACCCCATCTGAAATTTGCTAATGTTCCTGCTATTGTTTGACCTTTTAAGTCCTGGCCCCAAGCCCCGAACCTTTATTTGTAGGTTCGAATTGAGAGAGAAAGAGGAGAATTAATGGGGATTACATTTAATAGAAATAATAGCATTGACTAATCGACCGACAAGGACAGTGTATTCACTGATGACTTTTCATGATAAATTCCATTCCCATCTCCTTCACGCCACTTGTTAATATATATATCATTCCGTGCTTGAAGGATAAAATTAGGTTCCCGTTTGGTTTACAGGAATAGAGGTTTGGAATTAGAATCGGAATGAGCTTTGATTTTAATTGTTTGGTTTGGCGGAATTGTAATCCTATTTTTATTCCTGTTGGAATGGCATTCTCTCATTTGAGGAATGGTCATTCCCTTAGAATGAAATCTTATTGTTGCTGATTTCAATTCCCATTTCTATTTCTATTTGAATCAAAAAGACTAGGAATAGGCCATTCTAAAAAATTTCAATTTCAATTTTGACTATAAACCAAACAGACCCTAATATCTGCACGCAACAGCTAACCAGGTATTGTCCAACCCTGACTGAGCATATCTAATTGGTCCCTCCCTTACATACACCTCTACTCTATAGGTTCTAACTAACTATTTTCAGTTTTCTTATTAATTTATCTGGTCTGATCTCCACTTAGCCAAGGCTGATGAATGAAATACTTGTCCTTTTGGGATTTATAACAAAAAATTTGTATCTTAGGCCACGCTTTGGTTGCAATGCAAACGTAAATATGTACATTACATATTTATCTATTTTTTGGTTCATGAATGTAAATATGGTTCACATTTTAAACCATTTTTGTATTCATCTTGTTTGTTTGAAATCGGTACAAAGTGTGGGCCCATCATTAAATGCTCCAACTATCCTATGCTCCAATGCCTTAACTTTGGTCAAAAATTTAATTATTGAATAAACACAAAATTGTATCCAAAAAATAGGTATAGTAATGCTCTCTTTTCAGAGTATAAAAGTGTCAAAAAATACGTTTTTGCTCTGATAATCATTACTTTTTTATGTTTCAAATAAACACTCGCAAACATGAACCGAGGTAAATACCCCAGTTCAACGTTTGTATTGCAAACAAACGGAGCCTTAGGCTCATTTCAGAAGGAGTACAAATACAAATATGTAGAGTGCAAAACCTTGTATTTTGTGTGTATTTGCACTCTACATATTTACATTTGCACTCCTTCCAAACTGAGCTTTAACTGAAAATGGTCATAAACATATTGGGGGAGATCCGAAGCCTCGACTGCCACGGTGTTGAGGGGAACCCCAAAAAATTAACCAAAAAATCTATGATTAATTGAAATATTAAAATTTAATCCTACGTCTAAGCAGTGAAAAAGGCTGCAGGAAACCCTAGCTACTAGCAAGACAAAGAGCCCAATAATCACTTAAGAGTGCTGTATATATTACCTCAAGCTATAGATTGAGGCTGTATGTCTTTCCCAAACAAACTCACCCTGTAGGCTGTAATAGAAAATTGAAAAATTGAAGTCTATATATTAGCAATTACCGTGGGATATAGAAATAAAAAGAAAAAAAAAAATCCTTAGAACTGCATTTGGGTCAAAGAAAACAAGTGATAAAATCCTTTTTAACACGTTTTCCTCTATATGCATGCCTCGGTCAAGAGCTTACCAAGAAACCAACTTTCAAAATGTTGGTCTCTCCTTTACTCCCCGAAAAAAGTTTGTTCTCCTTCAAACTCAGAAGGGTAAAAAAAAGCCACAAGGGCGTAAACTGATGGTCCGTTTGATTTACCGGAATAGGGATTTAGAATCAGAATAAAAATGGTCGATTCCAATTCTAACTGTTTAATTGAATAAAGTTGGAATTTCATTCTCATTTCTAGTAGAATAACATTCTACTAGAAAGAAGCACAGTGAGAGGATGTGTAATCTCCTAGTTGTTTGTAACTTTGTTTGGTTGTATCTTAACCACCCTTAAGGCTTAATCCATTATCCCCAGCTTCAATTTAATTCCAACTGCCAACCCCTCTCCCTCTCTATTGATATGAAGCATCTTCTTGTATTTGTAACTTTAGGAGCATTAATTAACAATCAATTTGTGTGATGCAATTGATGTTACCTTTGAGGCTGCAGGTATTAATGCAAGCATTTCCATACAGGCCCAGGTCCTCACCATCATTTGCCAATGTGGGTAGGAAGAAAATGGACTCAAATTCAATATGCTATCCCCATTATTAGGTCAATAGGTCCAATAGGGCAAAAGAAATTGGTCCCTGCAAGTTGGACCGTGCAGCAACTCTTGGCTCCGTCCACACAACACCAATAGTCACTAGGGTCTAGGCCGTCTAGGGACCAGTAAATTACGTAGGCAGGGAGGGATTCACAAGCTGTTGGGTACTTGGATCACGTCATTCACCATCCGATCCGAGGTGGTCATGCTTCTCTGAACTTTAAAGTATCAACTCTAATACTGTATAGATAGCAACTGACTACAGGAAGCAACCCTATCCAGAAAGGTAACAGGCAAGAGAAATCAGAAATATTTTAGTAGCTGGGTTTTATAATGGGATAATTTTTCCCCTTTTCACTAGTTTTGGAACCATTCCATTCATCATAATCATGATTTAAGCCTTGTTTCGACCACATGGGGTTGAGCATATGAATCCTGTTCCACTGTTCCATTTGTTTAATCTTATATACATTATCAAATTATGAGCCCTTATTTACTACTTCAAGTTCAAACCATGTGCCCCCTTTTGACAGGGTTAAAGCCCAGCAGCTTCTAGTTTTCTAAAGTGGGCCCATATATGGCTTTTAAGCTGTGTGGTGAAAAATCCGAAAAGTCCTATTGTTTGTTGCTCAGTCATTTTTTGGGCTTATCCTCCTCAGCCTCTTTATATAGCTTATCTAGAGTGCTTCAGAGCAGCTGTAGCAGTTTGGATGAATGTTCAGCTCATTGCTTTGAAACAGGCTTCATATCCTTCTTTTTTTTTTTCCAGCTTTGTAGGATTACACAATGGAGGGTAACCCATCTCTCATACCCATAACCTCCCCAACCTGGGTAGGTGAGTGGGTGAATAGGAATCAATACAAGGCTCCAATACAATTAACTAAAAATCTCACCAACTGAGCCAGTGGACATCTCAAACAATGTCCTCTTTAGTGCTTTGGAGCCAGACCATTGCTATGCTATAGAGTCAGATACATTGATTCATCCTAAACCAACCTGTTTCAGTTCACCAGCTCCAGTTAGCCTGGGCCCAAAAGATCCGTTTGCTAACGTAAACTGAGCCCGAACCAACCCCAAATCCCAATCCCAATCCCACCCCATCCACCTTTTATAGCATAGTTACCTTGTGTGCATATGCACATTATGTATATATGCTATGTATCTGCGTTTACATTATGTAAACCTAGGGTTATATTTTATAATATTATATGACCAACTTGGACCCACAATCATGCACAAAAATGTATACACATGCACTAAATTCTATGCCATCAAAATAATATTAACAATTTCAATGTATTGATATGTATCTCTTTTAATAATTGTATATTTGTAATAAGTATATCTTAGTGTCATATTGTATGTATTTTGTATTCTATTTTTAAATTGAACCATGACACTCAAATTAAAACAGGAACCAAAAACATTTGTAAAAAGACGGCCTACCGAAGCTGAACCCAACTCTGAGTTGTTGGCTTTAATTTGGGCTGGGCTTGAATTGTAAATTCACGTACAATAGCATAATAATATTTTAATTTGTTTTATGGCACCATGGGGCTACACAACAGGGGCAGCCCATCCCCCAAAGGCCCAACCCCCTTCCACCAAAACCCTGGTGCAGGCGGGGTTCAATCCTCCGCTACAAATAGCAGGAACCCTTACCAATTAGCTAGTTGGCATCTTACCTCCAATAGCATAACATTAAAACTAGGATTAAGTATTCATAGGGATCAAGGGAGAATTTTCACACCATCACTCTGTCTCGTTTCCCGGCATGTATTAAAGTCGGAGTCCGGATCTCTTCCCAACAAAAAACCGTGCCAACATATTCCAACACGATCTATGTCTGCACATCTCATTCACACTCCAAACAACACATGGGCTAATTAGGATTAGCTGAACGCAAAAATTCTCCCTAATGTGGGCAGGCTGGACCCGACCTGCCCAAAATATTACTACCCTCTAAAAGCCCAATTAGGCCCAATCTGGATCGGTCCATTATCATCCCTACATCTACATGGGATGATAGCCAAGCGGCCCAAACCCAACTAGTTGGGGGAAATTAAGATGTAGTCGAATATACGGGGATGCTGTGAAGTGTCAACATTCTATACCATCCTTGCCGTTCATTAATCATCACGTCAATGCCTACCGTAAATGCTTATGCTTCCTTCTCAACTTCTCAGTCACTCGCGAGTCGTGAGTCGCGTACTCGCGTCCATGGTCCACCTATGACCTACCCGGCCCGGGCCCCCAACGGCTACTCGGTACGATGAAAAAAAATATATTTATTATTTACAAACGAACGGATGTATCGGGAATCAGGAAACGTTATACACCTGTCTCACAAAAAAGGTCAAATTCAACCTTTCGATGCATCTAAACCATCTGATCTATTATGTGCCACTACGATTTTATGAACTGGGACCCCCCTCTGTGTCTTTTACTTTTGTACGTCTCCACCTATCCTAATCCGTAACTCCCAATGTAACGTTCATCTCATAAACGGCATTTTCCCTTGTCCATTTTATTAGTAGAACAGAGCTTTTTGTTTAGTCCTTCCCCTGTTTTGAGTGTTTTTCTCACCACCTACATCTGCAACTGCAAGATATGCGATGAAGCTGTCGACGGAGTTCGGAGTGTTTATACTTTTCTTTTCTGTATCTTTCTGTTGTATTCCCGCCTCTAGCCCCGATTTCGACGCTTTGTTTGCTTTCAAGTTTGCTTCAGACCCCTCTAACTCTCTTTCCTCCTGGTCCAATTCATCCCATCCCTGCTCTGGTTCATGGGTCGGCGTAACCTGCAGCAAAAACAACCACCGAGTTACCCGACTCGTCCTCGAAGATCTCAACCTCACTGGCTCCATTCAAATTCTGACACATCTCACTCGCCTCAGACTTCTAAGCCTCAAAAATAACGCCCTTTCTTCTTCCTCTTTGAACTTCTCCTCCTGGACCAACATGAAGCTGCTCTTTCTCTCCCATAACCATTTCTTCGGTGACTTCCCTGCTGGAATCTCCCAGCTCCGCCGCCTCCGCCGACTCGATCTCTCTCACAACGGCTTCTCCGGTCACATTCCGATGACTGAATTGAATCAATTGTCCCACTTGTTGACTCTTCGCCTCGAAGCCAATTCTTTCACTGGAACATTGTCCTCGCTCGATGTCCCAGTTGCAGATTTCAACGTGTCCGGAAACAATCTCTCCGGTCAAATTCCGACATCTCTTTCCTCGTTCGCAGAGTCTTCTTTCACCGGCAACAAGAATCTTTGCGGCAAGCCGTTACCGTACAAGTGTTTGAATCGAATGGTTCTGAGTGATCCGGTCCCGGTGAGGGCCTCTGAGAGACATGGAAAAAAATTAAGTCTTCGAGTTGTACTCGTCATTGTAATCGTAGATGTGTCCGTGGTCATCGCCATGATTGGGGTTTTCTATTGCTACTGGAAGCGACGCACCAAACATCATCAGACTGGTCTGGGTGGAAAGAGACCGAAAGAAATGAAGAGGTATGGATACGAAGAAAGGTACAGAGGAGGAAGGGAGAATGATGAAGAAGAGATGGTCTTCTTTGAAGGATGCAAACAGGGCCTGAGAGTGGATGATCTTTTGAAGTCTTCTGCAGAGATGCTGGGAAAGGGGATCCTGGGGACAACTTACAAGGTAGTGATGGACGGAGGGGATGTTTTCGTGGTGAAGCGGACTAGGGAAAGGGGGATAAGGAAAGAATTTGATATTTTTCTGAGAGAGATAGGTGGGTTGAGACACAGTAATATCGTCAGCCTCAGAGCTTACTTCTCTTCCGAAGAAGTGCTTCTTCTGGTGTACGATTACCTCCCAAACGGAAGCTTATATTCTCTCTTACACGGTCAGTTTCTTCTTCTTCTTCTTCTTCTTCTTCTGGTGGACTACTTTTGAAACTTGCAGTGATTGAATTCCTCTTAAGTTCCATGAGATTGTCTGGATTTCATTTACATGGATTATGAACTAACAAGAGCCACATTGTCCAGGAAATCGAGGACCTGGAAGAACTCCCCTGGATTGGATGACAAGGTTAAAGCTGGCGTCGGACTCTGCTAAGGGTCTTGCGTTCCTCCACAGTGAATGCAAATCCAAGCTCCCCCACGGCCACCTCACGTCCTCCAACATCGTTATTGATCAGGCTGGCAATGCCTGCATTTCTGACTTCGCACTTCACCAACTTTTTCTCTCCCCATTGACATCAAACGGTGCATACAAGGCACCGGAATTAATGCTTAACTACAGCCAAAGGAAATTCACCAGCAAATCCGATGTTTATAGTTTTGGAGTGATTCTCTTGGAGATTCTTACTGGCAAAATGGCAACAGGGGAAGGAGAAACCAGTCTACCCATGTGGGTACAACGCGTTGTGCGAGAGGAATGGACGTCAGAGGTGTTTGATATTGAACTGTTGCGGTACAAGGGGTCGGAAGAAGAAATGATGGCTCTCCTGCAGGTGGCCTTGCTTTGCTTGGCCCAGACACCACAAGATCGTCCTAAGATGAGCGTAGTGCATGAGATGATTGAGGACATCAGGACGAGGGAATGTAGACAAGGGGGAAACCATTCTCCTCTGAATGACCTGTCTTCTGATTCATCTCCTTCTCCCTCAGAAGATACTCCTAGCTTCACTAGCAGCTGAACCTTGGCTTGTGTGCCGATGCTTATTGATTAAGGTCTTTTTTAATTGTTTTAATTCAATAGGAGCTCCAGGTAGGAGGTCCACCAATCGACAAATTGAGTGCAGATAATGTTAACCATCTAGATCAACCATATTCTTCTCAAGATGATCCATTCATTTCCATCTAGAAAAACATTGAAGAATCTCTCTCTCTCTCTCTCTCTCTCTCCCCTCTTTTGGGCAAAGAAAGAAGTAGCTTCATTTCTTATATAAGAGCTTTACATATAAGGATATTAACATTTAAGAATTTCTTTAGGAGTCTCATCTATTGGAGAATCTACTACCGATCTACAGTTCTCTCTGGGTGCATTCTAGTCATACTAAACTATTTTGTTTGAGAAATTCTCTGTTGATGCAAGACTTGGGCTGTGGATTCTGGTTAAACTTCTGTTTTGGGTTTTACTTTAATTTGGTCCAGGTTTATTTTACTTCATCTGCTATGCAAACAAACAAAATAAGGTGACAGTTAGAAACAAAAATAAATCAGAATTTACACTAAAATCATTTGCACTCCCATACTTTTGCACCAAGTACAGATAAAATTGCACTGTAAACAAACCAGGCCTTGGAAGTAAATGTTGGTTCTTTACTTCATGTAAAGATTCACATGGTTTATAACATTCTTGAATGTCAGTCATTACTTTCATCTTCTTCAGCTGAAGCATAAACGTGTGATGAACAGAGATTGCACGCGTACATTGTTGGTTTGAAATGGACAAGAGGGTATATACATGATAGAATCAGAGAAAGAAGGATGAATCTTAAGAGGGGTTCACAAGATTCTTGTTTTTTTTTGCATGAGAGCTCAGTAAAAATGTATCAGTTTTCCATTAATTGGATGTCACAAGATTCTTGTTTTTTTTTGCATGAGAGCTCAGTAAAAATGTATCAGTTTTCCATTAATAGGGTGTCAGTGGGTTGGCACTGGAGCCTAGCCCCACAAGCAACTGAAGAGGCTGGGTTTCCTTTGGCTCCTTTTGAAAATGAGGGCATGCTATGAATGTTAAAACTATGTCTCCTCATATTTATCACAGTAGTTGAAGAATTTCAATTTTAAAAACATGGGAGACCTGGTCTTGTTATCCACCGTGAAGGAGCAAGGAGCATTAAAACCAGCAGAAGTGAAGCCACTACTATGGGTGGTCAATGAGAGAATTGAGTCTCTGTACTCCAACATGTTTGCTGAAAGGTTTCTTGTGAAAATCTTTTGAGTGGAAAGAGTACAATACAAGGTTTGGAAAGAGTAGAAATCAGTGGTGGCAATTGGGCGGGTTGGGTCTCAACCCAATCCATTTAACCCAATCCAATCCACCCAAATCCATTAATCATATAGTTATGTACTTAAAACAAAAAACTAACTATTTTTTAATAAATAACTTAGTCATAGCTTAGTGGTAATAGTGATTGCTATTTACACAAATGGTGAAGGTTAAAATAACATTACATGCATGTTATTTTTATAATAGAAACAACAAAGCCATTTAACTATGTTCGGGTTTTGGATTTGATGAACCACATAGGTTCAAACCGGTCAGGCCAACTTGAACTATCTAATTGGATTGTCTTCGAGGTAATCACATCAAGTTCAAGAGTGGTTGAACCGTTTAGATCCGGATCAGTCCGGTCGGACTAGAACCCGCCCGAACCGGTTTAGTCCAGTCGGACAAAACCCATTTGACCGGTTCAATTCGGTCGGATCAGACCTCGACCGGACCTGACCGGTTCAGTCATATAGTGGATTGACTTGGGTGGGCTCATATCAGGTTTGTGTATGGGTTTGGGGCCGAATCGATTGGTCCGAATCAGGTCAAAAGAAGTAAATCAGACCGGGTCGTATTCGGGTCGAGTTGCACGGATATGAACCAAGTTGGACGATCCAAACCGGACAAAGCAAGCGGACGGTTTAGGGTTCGGACCCACCCGGTCCGATCCGCTTCGGATTCGGGTCGACCTGGATCGGCTTGTATCGGGTTGAGCTGGGCTATGTGAATAATGGTTGGACCGGACGACCCAAATCGGACAAAGCAAGCAGTACCGAGCCATCCCGTCCGAGGTCTATTTTGGATTCGGGTCGATCCAGATCGTTATATGTTGGATCGTGTCAGACCGCGTTGAACTAGTCCAGACTTAGGTCAAATTGATTTGGATTTATGTTGGATGAAGTGTGTTGATTCAAGACAAAACCAAATTTAGTTAATAATTAATAAAATAATAATGCATTAATTATAAATTATTTAATTCAAATGAAGAAAATAAAAAATAGGCTAAGTAATTAATACTAACGTCTATAATGATTAACCCAACGATTATCCACAACCCAATCCAATCTAACCCATTTAAATGGACGAATTAGGTGAGGGGTTGATCACACAACCCGCCAAATAAATGAACAGGTTGGACGGGTTAGATGCTGGGTGGGTTGGGTGAAAAATTGCCACCCCTATTAGAAATACATACAGAAATACAATGTTCTATACCGTACATGGTACTCTTTCCAAACTGAGTCCTAAGTTTTAACCAATAAAGCTTGAAACTAAAATTGAGTGGTTATAGTTTTCACTATTCAATTAACAAACTCGGTTCACTCGGGTGGTGTGGTGGTGGTGGTATCAGTTGACAATGTGGTGGTTGGACAATCAAATGATATGGGTCATGCTGGGATAATATGGGTATAGTATGGTGGAACTGGACGATGAGAAATAATACTTGGAGGTGATGGAGGGTCAATGGGGCCCTAGAAAGATGTATTAATTTTACTGAGGGTTATGTAGGTGAAAGACCTCTAAGTAGTGAAGTAGAAACAGCCTCGACGATGATGCAAGCTCATAACCGACAAGTTAGTTTGAAGCCAATTCTGTAGAGAAGAAAATTAATGCAAGCTCATAACCGACAAGCTCAGAACAAGTTTATGTAATGGTAGAGAAGAGAAATTCTCACAAATTCAAAGAATGGGAGGCTTTGCCAACTAAGCAATTACATGTAGGGCCTGTTTGATTTACAGTTGAAATCGGAATCAAAATCTTTCAAAACCGGAATTGGGATGGCCTATTTCCATAGTCTGTTTGGTTCAAACAGAAATCGGAATGAAAATTGATATCATCTGAAATGAGATTTCATTTCCAAGGGAGAGGGAGGGAATGATGCCATTCCACCATGAATGGAAATGGGATTCCAATTCTGTCCAACCAAACAATTGGAATTGGAATGACCTGATTCCAAACCCCTATTCCAGCAAACCAAATGGGACCATAGTTCGTAGATCCTTGAGATCGACTAAAGGCTATCATCCTCTTTATTCTTCATGAAATCTTCTTTATACATGGATTATTCTGCAAGTTATTGCTCTCTTATATAGATTCTCTTCAAGGGGTAAGGCATCTATACTCCCCCTCCTTTTTCTTTTCTTTTTTTTTAATCACTTTAGAGATTAATTTTCATGGGTTTGAATGAAAATTTGATTTTCCTACCCTTTTTTCTAGTCTTGGAAAAAGTACAAGCTTTCTTTGTAGGAGCTTGTCAATACCCATAATAGACTACAATGGATACCATGGTTTTCAAAACCTGACCAGAAAAACCAGGAACCGTTATTTGATCGGTTCCATTTTATCCCAAAACTGTTATTTCGCAAAAATCATTGATTTGGTCAGCAAACTACTGACCCAGGTGGTTGAACCGTTTGGACCATCTGATGGTTTTGGCAGTTTTTGTTTTTTTGTTAAATTTTATTAAATTTTATTTTTTTGTCAGAATGAGCCGTCTGTTCGATTCAAACGGTCGGACTGTTCGACCCGAGAACCGGGCCCCTTACTAGTTCGTTGTACGATTCGGTTTTAAAAACATTGATGGATACACTTGTACATACATATATGGCATTAATTTTAAGGCTGTGTTTGGCTGCAGTGCAAATAATTCGTGTAAATTCTGACCTATTTTTGTTTCAAATTTTAGCTTATTTTGTTTGATTGTAGTGTAAATAAAATTAATTAAGACATGAAGCAGAATAAAATAAAATCCAAAACAAAATTAAATGAGAATTTGCATTTTTTTCATTTGCACTTCCATACATTTGTACTAGTGCAAATAAAATTACACTGCAATCAAACACAGCCTAAGGTGCATAAATAATGTTCTAAAGATAATGCCTTTAGATATAATACTATCTTAACAATGGGGTTGAAAGGAAAGTGCAAGAGAGAACTCGGGTAAAATGCTCATCAATCTAAGAAATCCTTCCGGCTCAGTTTGGAAGGAGTATAAATAAAAGTAGAGTGCAAAGCCTTTGCATTTTGTATTGTTTTGTATGTATTTGAACTGTATATATTTGCATTTGTTCTCCTTCCAAACCGAGCCTCTAAAACATAAGGAGCAAAAACCAAGAAAATTTTCTTAGAAAGCCAAAGGTTGAATTGTGTTCAATTCAAAATTCTGATACACCTACCAGAAGGTTTATATCAACTTGCTTAAAACAAACCCCCAAGTTTAATAGTTACTAAAAAACCATTTACAACGATTCACAATTTCACATACAACAAGGGTTCATGGAGTTTATGACATTTTTTTGGTTTCCCACAATCAATAATGCGTCCCTTAGGCTCAGTTAGAAAAAAATACAAATACAAGTATATACAATACAAATATATATAAAATAATACAAAATATAAGATCTTGCACTCTACATATTTGTATTTATACCCCTTCCAAATGGAGCCTTAAAGAAAAATGATCTTGACTTTGCATGAGAAACTCCAAATCTTAATCCATTTGTTGTGTTGGAAAGCAGACTCAAAGAGCTTTCTACAAACATATAGCTTGCTTGTATTCAAATTCAAATATGGCGGTCATTTTCCATTCTTATAGACACTCCCATGTCAAGATATACCTCAAAGCTTCAATCGTTTTTTTTCCCCTATAACTAATTTCCTAAGATTGTCTAATTGAATGAAATGCATTGTCACAATTAAGGGTGTCAATGGATTGGACTCCATCCGGTCCGAAATCAATTTAGACAGATTGGACGGGTCAAACAAGACATATTGGATTGGACCAATCCAATTCAAAATATTTATTAGATTGGATTAGACCTGATCCATTTGTAACAAATTTATATTGGATTAGGTTGGATTAAGCCAATATCTAACCCATTGATATAAGATAAGAAGAACATATGTGTCAATGGACCAAGTTTGGGCTGAAATCAATCTAAATCAAAATGAATTTAAACAAATTAGACAGTCGACATTGAATTGGATCGACCCAAATTGATCCAAAACATTCATTGGA